GATTCCCATGAAAATCCAATTCCGATATGGGATTGTGCATACGGCTATAATTTATCCGATTTACACTTATCTAGCGACACTTTACATATATATTTCCTCGTTTAAGAAACTGTAAAGTTTGAATAGTTTATCCTAAGTAGACGGCAAACAGATTTTAAATTTTTCCTTGGCCATTAGCAAAAATTATAAATAACCAAGTGTAAGTACGAACAAAAAACTCAAGGAACAAAATCGCGACTCAAATTTTATAAACAAAACTTCTATCATAAACTCAAACTTATATTCCTGTAACCAAAAAACAAAATGTCTTATGGACACCGCAGTTTATTAAAGAGTTTTCAACATCTTGTATCAACTAGACCAAAAGAAAAAGTTCTTATGGTGGTGGTGATGATCCTTACGAAAAAGTTATCACCATTTTTCATAGTTCCGGTTCAACCTCATTTCCTAAATTAGTTCCTCTCACAAATCGTTATTTCTTGGTTTTGGAACAAAGAGATAAAGCTGGTGATGTTGTCCTAGCAACCGCTCCATTATTTCATATTTTTGGAATGTCTGTTTCAATAAATACCATTTTCTATCCTGGTTCTGTATATGTATTTCCAATCGTCTCAGGATCAGTTCCTTTAATAAACAAAATTTTACATAGTTTAAATCAATCTAAGTCTAATGTTTTTTATACTTTACCCGCTATTATTGAACAAATTTATAAAAATCATCCTGAAGAAATTAAAACCTTATTAAAATTAAGTTCTATCAAATATGCTGGTGCTGCATTATCACCTCAAATAGGTAAAAAGCTTATTCAATCCGGTGTTAATGTCCAATCTATGTATAGTTCAACTGAAACAGGTGTTATTATGGATACTTCTAAAAATTCTTCTTCACCTAATATCCCATGGAATGCAATAAACTTAGTAGTACCAGAAAGTTATATAAAATGGATAGAAAAGAATGATTTATTGATGGAGCAAAAGAATTAATTATAGAAAAAAGATCTCCATATCTTTCAAACATTAAAGGAAATACCGAGAATGGTGGTTATAGAACAGGTGATTTCTTCCTTGAAACTTCAAAAGGTTCCGGCTTTTATCTTTTACTTGGTCGAGCCGATGATACAATTGCCGATCGAAGATACAATTCGCCTTAATCAATTTGTTAAACAAGTAGTCGTCGTTGGATTTAATAGACCATTCAATTGTCTTTTTATAGAACTTGATTATGAAAATATCAAACTGACTCCTTTCTTAGATGTTACCAAAAGTATCTTTGATTCTGTACATCAAGCTAATAATGACTGTCCATCACATTCACGAATCTTTGATGAAATGATTTATATCTTACCTCTTGAAGGAAAAACAATTGCTCATACCCTTAAAAATAATGTTCAATGTAAGAAAGTTGAAATAGAATTTAAAGATGAAATTGAAATGCTTTATGATAATTTTGTAAATGCCAAAACCGTCTCAAATAATAAATCTTTTTCTAATAAGCAATGGAATGAAGATTCTGTAAAATCCATTTTATTAGATTCCCTTAAATCAGCTATTGGAGATTCATTTTCACTAACTGACGATGACGAAGCCTCATTCTTTGCTATTGGTTTAGATTCTTTATCTGCAACTAAATTACGAGCTATTCTTCAAAAACAATTTCCGGTTATCAACCTTCCTCATGATATTATTTTCGAATATAATACATTCCAAAGTCTTACTCATTATTTGATAAAAGAATTATCAAAAAACAGCTCTCCACAAGGTCAAAATGCTGAAGACAGTTACGAAGCAAAATTACAGGCTCTTAAAAATGAAGTGAACTCATATATTCAAAAATATAGTGCAACTGATAATTTCCCCCCTGTGGATAACTCTGATAAAATTAATGGAATCGTAAATGAAAAAAATGGTGAAACGGTTCTTATTACAGGTGTTACTGGATCTCTTGGATCTTTTATTCTCTGTGATTTATTAAATAAACAAAATGTACATAAAGTTTACTGTTTGGTGAGAGCTTCAGATGAAAATCATGGATAGTCTTGATTAAAAGATTCATTTGAACAACGCCATTTAGATTCTTCTTTATTATCCAAAGAACATATTATCATTTTACCAAGTGATTTGGGTGATTCGAAGTTTGGACAAACCGAAAAGATTTATTCAAAACTTGTACAAGAAGTAACACAAATTTACCACGTCGCTTGGAGATTGGATTTTAATAATAAAATTCAAGTTTTTGAACGTGATAGTATTGCTGGAACCGTTCATCTTCTTATGCTCGCTCGTGAAGCATATACTCATCATCAAAACGTTCATTTTAATTTTACATCAAGTATCAGTACAACTGTTAGATCAAAAACAAATGTTAAAGAAGATGAATTACCTCACGATATTTCAAGTGCAATGATTAACGGATATGCTTTATCTAAATTCATTACTGAAAATGTATGTGCTGAATGGTCATGAAAAATTGGGTTTAAACTTGATATTCATCGTGTTGGGCAAGTTTGTGGAGATTCTGTTACGGGTGTTTGGAATACTCGAGAACATATTTCACTTATGATAAAAGGTGCACAAATTATGAAAATTA